TAATTTTGTTTGCTAATATTTAAGCTATATTGAAGCTATTGATAGAGATAGTATAGCACTTGGTATTGGAAATTGGCAGACTGTAACCAGCGATAGAGCTAGTTATAGGCGTCAACTAAGGGAGTTCATGGATTACAATTGATCTGGACGACCAGGGAAGAAGAAAAAGAAGAATTGCTAATATTGAGAAAGGGGTCAGAGTGTCAATGAGTGACAACAAGAAGCAGCATCGAAAATCTTGAATTTCATGGTGATATTAAGCTACGTGGGAAGAAGCAGGTCCAAGTTAACAATCAAAAATCAGTCTTTTCTGAAAATTCCAGTAAAAAACTTAATAAATTGATCAATCTTTTCCCAAAAAATGCGCCAATCTCCTTCAGAATCACCAATCAACTTCCCAAAAAGAATCATCTTATTCGCTCGTGTTTCGATAAATAATTTGGTTTATTAGTAAACTGTTCATGTTTATTCATCAGTTTTAGTCAACATATTGAATAGCTGATCATGAGCATAACATCATCACTCTGTGTGCATTTCATCGTCATCATCATCGTCATTTCTATCACATAATAAACGTTCTACATCCACAAAAAAAAATTTATAAACCAAAAATGTTGCTTTTTTGGCAATATGGCGATGACATCAATGACATACATTCTCATCTGACAACATGAGAAAATAATTAAATAATTTTTTTTATTATATTTTGGTGCATACAAGTGCAGTTGCATCAGCAGCTCATTGATAAAAAGCCTCAAGGGAGTTATTTTCATGTTGATGCTCATTAATACTAAATTTAATAATTATGTATACACAAAATATAAAAAAAAAGAATTATTTTATTTCCTCCTCATCTCATTTGGCGCACATTGCATCGAATCATTCACATCTGCTACTCATTGATGCTGTTCGAGCTGCTGCTTGTTGTTGAAATGAAAATTACTCGTGATTATGGGAACAGATTATAGAAAAAAAAATTATTTTATTTCATACATTTTTTTTCTCACATTTTTAAATAACAACATTTATGTTGATGCTGCTTCTGGTGATGCTTATGTTCCCTTGGGTAGAATTGTGATTAAATTGATCAGAATCAGGTTTGGGGAAAACAGTTGACTTGAAAATTATAGAACTGTTCTAGGCGCATATCCAGAAGGGTTTGTCTCCCTCTTAAGCGTTTTAAGCCGTGCTCTCGCTGCGGTTCAAAACGTTTAAGGCGGGACAAGTCCCTCCTGGCAACGCACCTGAACTTTTCTATTAAAAACGAATTGAAAACTATTGACAGTGTTTTAGGTGGCTCGATTAGGTGGATCCAATCTAGTTTTAAACAAAAGTGTGCAAATTTTATTTCCAGGCTAGATTAACTAGGCTAGGCTAGGCTAGGCTAGCCACTTCATCAAGTGTCGAAAACTTCGAATTTTAAGAGAGCCAAGAAATCAAATTAAACTTATTGGAGGGAAAAAAATATCAGATTCCCCCCTCCCAACTACTTTTCCAAAACTTTTAAATTATCTATCAAAAACTGAAATGCAATTGAGTAAATTATTTAATGAACAGGAACAAGCTACATGCAAGACTATAAATTCTGATGAAATTTTCCCAACAACATCACATCTACTTTGTAATAGCATTTTATGGCTTGAAAACATTCTCAATTCTCCAGAGTACTCTTGTATCTTCTTATAAGCTACGAATAAATGAATGAGAAAAATTCCATCGGGACTGTATGTGGAATTTTCGTCGATCAATATTTTGAACTTGGATTTCTGTATTTCACAGACATTTAATTTAGGAACGGAATTTTCATTAAAATGCAAGCATGATTGAATATTTGATGAAATTCAAAATTTTGGTTTAAATTGGTATTTAATTGAATTTGATGTCTTAGAAGTTTTGCTGGGGAATTTCAATAAGCTTAATTTCAAATCGAATTACTGAATTGTGAGCTTGAGCAACCACAAAATATCGAATCTTGATGTTGCATTATAAACCAAAATAATTGTCAAATTTCATTCAAATTGTTACCAAGTAATTTTAAATGTCCTTCGGACATGCTTGTCCAAACTGTAAATAAAGTGTCAACAAACTCAAACTTTGTCCAATAAAATGTTCTTTGCATCAAAACAATCAAAATTCCAAGAAAGTTTATTATTTATTTATATTTCTCATTTCTCCATCAAGAATCAAAATTCTATGGCAAAAAAATTTGCTGTTGCTGTCGGGGCTCATTCAATAGCTGCTGTAGACTTTAAATGAGACTTACAGTGGCAAACAAAGATAACTGATCTGAACTGAGAAGACCAAATAGGTCAGTCAAAGCTGCATCCTACCAAATTTTAATTAGCTCCGTAAAAAGGATTGCAAATCCAATTATTGGTGCACTTAACTTACAAATAATCCCCATTCAACTTTCACTAAGAAACAAATTGAAAAATTTTTCCAGAAAAATAAATTTAATTATGTTTCACTGTGCGCCCGCTAGGGATCTCGATGAAAATAATTTAACAAGAGAAGCTGAATGAAAATAAAAAATGAGAAATGAGACGTTATAAAATAAACTTTTTAATGGACTTTTCTGTTTTCGAACGTGAGGAAAATGGATTTTGAATGATATTTTTTATGACAGTACATGCTGGGTTGGCTGCTTTGGTTGAATTAATTGGTAAATTGTTTAAATTTAAAGATTTTTGATAGTTTAATTTTAATTTGGATATGATATGCTGGTTCAATAGCGACGCGTGCTCGTTGGGTAAGAGTAGTTGCTTTAAATTGTGATATTTGACTTCTTATTCTTTGCTGTGATGAGTTATAGCTGAAGGCCATTCAGCATATATGATTGTCACTAACCTATGCCTTTAGTAGACTTCTATGTCCAAACCATTATAAAATTATAAGTTTTAATAGTTTTTTAAAGCTCCACACACAATCTTAATAAATACACTAGTGACCAGAAGATATAAAACCTGTTAAAATTAAAATTACAAATTTTATTTAAATTTCTGTTCATTTTCTAGCAGAAAATCATTAAAAATTTGTTACATGTAAAAAATGCGCATTAAGAATATTTTATACTACTAATAAATTTTCCTCTATTAAGTTCTTCACCTCCCTAGCATTTTTCATCATTTTAAAAAGTGTTTACCACTCGTTTGACTCAATCTCTTACTCGCATTCTCTTTTTTTTATTGCATTATTTAATTTAATATAATTTTCCACTCTCGAGAGTACAATTTCTACTCTTTATGTACTTAAAAAAGCAGAATTATGTCACATTTTTTATAGATTCTCATTCGCCTTTTTTCCTGCAACAATTTTTAAGCTTCACATCATAATATCGATATCATGAGACGGCACATCAACCTGGCGCCCTTAAAGATATTTTCTTCATCGAAGTATCTTCTTTAAACAACTGCGACTGACTTGCTGACTGTGTGAACTGCACAGTCAATTTATTTTATAGAATCAACATCAAAGTTGTTATTTTTTTACTCTTTCTCCTGTGAGCTTTAAAATATGAGACAGAGCAGTAAGTAAGTCAATAAAAAAAAAAATGGAAGAGCTGAAAAAACTTGCATCAATTTTTATGTGAAATAATAAATTTCGTGCCACAAAAGTTTTAATTGAACTACATTTATGCTAGCATGTTGAAGTACATTGAAGGTAAAATAAGCTCCTGTTGTGGTCATTTTTCTTTAGCATGCAGTTTTAAGGATGTGAAGACTTAGAAGCAATTTTAAGCAGATTGTCTACTTTTAAGGCACTTGAGAGTCATTGGAAAAAATCTATGAGTAATAATGGTTATTAGTAAATTGCCCAAAGTAATATATTGAACGGGTAGCATGGCTGTGTCTAAACTGGAAACTCCAGAGCTCGAAGTCGATGAAAATTTGGATGATGTCGAGTCGATTTCGAGCTCTGGAAAACTCTAATGAGGTTTTCAAATTCTTTGAAACTTTCCCGAATGGCACAGGTCAGTTAATCAATGTCAAATCCAGCGACAAGTTGGCATGACCCTGAAAAGAAACTGGCATCGATTTAAAACCAGCACCATGCAAAAGTTACACCGGTTTGGTGCCAGATTTCTAATCGATTAACCGAATTATGCTATTTGGGTTTGAAAACCTTAAATTTTTGAATATAAAAGGCCTAAGGTGCCCTAAGAACCACCATAACTTATAAAGGAAAATGAAAAATTGAAAAACGCTCTTATCATCCTATTAAAGCCCATGCACTCTTGCTTCGCTTCTGTATTGGCAAAAATTTTTTTTTTGTGTAATGTAGAATGTATTTGTCCACTGGAAGGCCATAAAAATATTTTATATCAAATAAACTCACAGTGTGTGTCTGTTTGAAATAAAAGTCCGAAATTTATTTGAGGAAATCGAGGTCATTAAATAAAAATAATTTTTCGTTGGGAATGAAATGTAATATTGTGTATCAAGTTCATGAGAAGCTCAGAGGAACAAGAAAACATGTCAAATGATCCACTTATGATATTAAAATTCTTAAAACCAAGTTTATTAACTTCCATTGACTTGATTGAAGTCAATATACTCTTTAAACTTGTATTTAATGTCAAGTAGGCAATTTAAGATTCTTCATTTCCGTTTTTAGATTCTTTTCATTTTCTTCATGAATTGCGAATTATTTTTCCTTATTTCTTCCTTACGCTCTGCTGCAAAATCGATGTGAATTTTTATGGAAAATATTTATACAATTTCTTAAACTTCTTTTCTTCGCTATACTTCTTATTTCCTCATTCTGAATACAGACTCTGAGTGTTTATTTGCTCTTGTGATTCCATATCATATCCTCAGCATCAATTTCAAAACGATGATGATAATAATACAATACTAGGCGAATGAAAAGTATGGGGAGGATTTTCATCTCTAAGGAAATAAAACGCATAATCATGTGTGGGAAAAAAATCTAAAAGAATGGGAAAGAAAAAGAATAAAATACATAATTCAAGCCACATACGCCAGGTGTAAACAAAAGTCATGGAAATCCCGAGCAACAATGATTTGTCAGCACTACATGTTTGTGTCAATAAATCATTTAAAACTCATCAGTTCTTTGAAGTTACGACTACAGAGTCATTGACATATCAGCCAGCACTAACACGTCATTACAATGGACTCTGCCGCTCGGGTATTCTTCCTGAAGGTCAGAACGAGAAATCTTTAAAGTTAAATCATTTTAAGAGCCAGATCTATACATGGTTGAGCTCACAATTCATCATACGCATTGCTGGACAATCGCACAGCCGATAGAATACAAAATCAGCTAAACAAACTGCTCAAACACAAGCACGAAAGAATATTTTTCTATTTGGGAAAATATATGTACTATAAATTTTTGTCTGACTGCTTTTTTATGTGTATATTATATATTATATTGTCTATGCCGATTTCTGATTCAGAAGAAGAGAATAAAAGAGAAAAGATGTTGAAAAACCAGGACACGAAAAGCAAATTTAACGAGATGAATGTTGAATTCGAAAATAGCTGATACATTCGCATCCGTTTTTTTTTTGTGATCTTATTTCATTTTCTCTCGTTTCTATTTCTATGCGGCACTTTTTTTCTGAGGGGTTGGAGTGATAAAAAGGAGTGAGGAAGAATTTTATAGGCAACATTTTCTTAAAGAGAATTCACACACATGCTTGAATATATTTTAGGTATATAAAAATTCAAAAACCCATGAAAATCTCTTTATTTGCATTATCGAAAAGCAGAATAATAAAGAAGATATAAGCAAGAACGAAGAGGGAAATATTTCATCAATCAATGTTAATAGATTTCGCATCACGATTTCTATGAACAAACCACAGAAACCATGATGTGTAGCAATTGCGATTATTAACACGAAAATGTGAGATAATAATATTAACATAAAATTTCCGTGTTTTCATAAGCTTCGAACTTTAAGCTACATCATTAAATTGCTGTAATATGAAACCCACATTATGTAGTTACATCATGAAACTTGGATATACGGATGTGTATTAGATACATACATGTGTGTTCGAATAAAGAGACAGACGATTTATTAATGTTTAATTATTATTAGAAATCATATTTGAGCGCGATTTTCTCTTATTTTTTAATATAAGGATTTAATTGGTATATTAGCATCCAAGAAGGTTGTTTGGAAGTTATTTGAGGATTAAGGGTTGGGATCTCAACAGTTTATCTGGTTGTATGGTCTATCTTAAGCTCCAGGGCGATTCGCAACTTTAAGAATCTTTTCTTATGCTGATCAATTCGGACCAGAAATGCGCTAGGGTGATTTGCAGCTAATGAGAGTTTAACGAGTGAGGGTGGGCCAAACCACAGCACTCAAACCAAGACTAACAGTTTCAAGTTGGATCCGAAAGACTTCCTTGATTCCTGTAGCCTACAAAAAAGGCTGTGAGCTGTTGATATGGCTAGAAGAGCATATCTGTAGTAGATAGACTTGATCATATGGCTCGCATTGAACTGGTTATATGTGGGTGACTGATAGCTGAAGTGAGATAAGTACCTCGATAGCCAAGTGGCAGGGATCTATGATCGAGTGCTCAGAGATCGCCTCTTTTGAGGTCGTGGGTTTGATTCCCATCGAACTCGACTGGTTTTACGTTAGTATACACATATGACATTTATAGGGAGATCTACATACATGAGCTTCATTTTTTTGTGTCGGTTCCTTTCTAATATTTTACTACAACACGAGTATATTAAAGTCTTCAATTAGGTACCAGCAATGGTTTGAATTAGGCAATTAGGTAATAAGTTTTTACAAACAAAAACTTAAATTTATTCACCAACAAATTCAAATCAAATCAATTCAACATTAAAATTCCATCATGTATCAAAATTCAGACATAAAACAATGCTTATCAGCCATTTCACATTATAAAATTAAACGAGCTATCTATAGCTTTTTCATTGTTCCATTCTATTCATTCGTTCACAAATTAATCGCATTAATTTTTATTAAAGTGAGTAAATTTAATTTGATAGGCAAAAAATTTTAACACAAATTACAATAATTATGATAATTTTCATCTCAATAGTGAATTTTGTGGAGTCAAGTAATTATTAAGTTAATGTAATTTGGCTGTAACTACTTTGTAAAATTTAATAAGCACACTTTTCGAAACATTTCGCTGTTGCTGGTAAGAAGAGGAAGATGATTCGAAAAGTTTTCATTTTCTTTTGTTGAATTAGTAGGAAAACTTACTTCTATAAGTATCATAACTTGTTAAAAAGTTAATTTTATTTTGTGAAGTGGAAAATTTACTCAACTTACATGAAAAGTTTTATTTTAGGTGGTTTTTTTTTCAAAGTTATGAATTTTGATTAATTTACTTGAATTCTTGAAAGGATATAAATAGGGCAAATTATAGCTGCTAAACCTACAATTTTTGGCTGCTTAACACAGCTTCCAAAAATTAAAAGCGAGCTTCAGCAACTGTTGAAAGTAAATTTTTCATTTCTAGAAAAAAAGCACCAACTCGTAAGCATCAATTTAAGTTTCATTCTGAAATTGAACCCCATTTGTCACAAAATATCAAACTTTTAACTTTCCAACAAGCACAAAACCGTAAACTTCCTCCAGCATGAAAAATAAGCTCTTTCTTTATTGAATAAATTTTACAAATTTGACATGGTAAACCTCAACATACAATAGGTTGTGCTCTTTACGGCATTTTTCATTGTTTCTTCTTCACAATTTTTTATACCGCACAACCTTCCGAAGTACGTATGTGCGTCTGGAAAAAAAGAATTTTTTTACTCTCAATTAATTTACATAAAGACCTTGAAACAAAACTTGCAAATCGTAAATTTTTGGGGAGGAATTGAAATAAAAATTAGATGGAGATAAAAGATGAGGGAAATTTAAAGCTAGTCATGGAAGTTTTATAGATAAGAATTAAAGATTTAAGAATAGCGGATAAATTGTAGATTTTTAATATGTTTTTTTTTTGTAATTTTTTTTAAATGTTTTCTGTTGGATTTGCCAGGAGAAATGTGGGAAATTTTAAACATAAACCTCGATAGCTCGTTACTAAGACATCATAATGGCAGAGCTCGAAGTCGATGAAATTTTGTATGGAGACGAGTCAAATCGAGATACAAAATCGGTGAAAATCTCGAGTCGACTTCGAGCTCTGCATAATGAAATGTGATTGCCATTTTTTGAATATAAGTTCGAGTCCTAAACACAAATCTTTTGTCCTTTTTCTGTCAGAAATTCAGAAAGGAGCCAGTTGTCGAACACTATCAAATATCGTAATTTAGCAAAAAATCTTCTCCAGCACATAAAAGTCCTCTTTAATAGAGAAGGAAGTGCTTCACTAACCAAATATTCCAAACTTTTTCCTTATTTACATAAATTACACTTCAACATGAGTGCGAAAAATAGCGCAAATAGAAAGAAGCGGAAGGAAAGCGTCAAGGCAACAAAAAAATAAAATTGCGGTATAGGCTCAATCAATGGAGGAAGAAAAAAAAAGCACTGAAACATTTCAACAATTTCTGTGACAGCCTTCATGTCTTTATTTACATAAAAATTCTTTTCCTTGTTCTGCTTATAGCAGGAAGAAAACAAGAAGGTCCTATTTCGATTCATAAGGCTGCTCTTCACATATTTTGATCTTAAATAATGCTTATTTTCTCTTTTCTGTTACAATTGCAGGAGCTTCCCTTTCGTTTCATTGCTTAAAGGCATTTCCATTCTCCTTTCAATTTCATTCAAATTAAGATCGTTTCCTTTTTATCATGAGCATGATGATAAGAAGAATGGAAGCAGAAATAACAAGAGTTGAAATACAATTCAGTCATTGAATGTGGGCGGATGAAGCGCATTTTTAAATGTCACAGACTTTAATTTTATAGTCTTTAGAGTTATTTGGAAATTATAAATGTCACGAAGCATTAAACATTTTAGACTGTCTTGGTAACATTACTATCATCTTTAATCGACATCTAATTATTTTCAGGCTTTTTTAATTTTAAATGCCAAATTTTCAATTCAAAGAAAGTCAACTAAATTGAGATTATGAAGGCGTGGATCGAATTTGGAATGAGGAGCTAGTAGCTGCACCATTTAATTGGGAGATTAATCTCCTAAATGAAAGAACTTTAAAGTTCAACAATATTTTTGCTTGTTACATGCAAAAGCAAAACATCCAATGGTTCATCCCAAGCGGCAATCAAAACCTCGCACCTCTCGATAACCGGTCAAGTGCTCAGACCACTAAGCTATTCCACTGCGATTATGAGACAAAAAGATGAGACACTAAGGTTATAAGATCAAGAACAGAAAGTTGAAAAAGTGTGGTTCACATATAGTGGCAAATTGCCAGCTCCATTGAAAAAGCCCAAAAGCTTAGTGGTCTGAGCAGATGACCGGCAATCGAGAGGTGCAAGGTTCGATTCCCGCTTGGGATGAACCATCATAAATTTTTTTTTCAACATTTCTTGATAAGGGCCGTTCACTTATGACGTCCGGGGGGGGGGGGGGGGGGGGGGGGAGAGCAAGAAAAGAACAATAGACATTTTTTTGAAAAATGACCGTTAATTTCGAAAGTCATAAGAGAACGACCCCATACGTGAGATTAATATTCATTCAAATTCATAAACATCAATTTAAAATTAGGCACAATGATTTATATTCTTGATCATCGAACCCTTAGACAAAATGTGCCTCGAAGCATGCTGCAACCTTCTGTTGAAATCTTCAAGAAATTGAGGAAAATATATTTCAATAAGAAGTTCAAGATCATTCAAGAGCATAACGAGGAAAGAGCTGAATTTATGTATCAAGCTACATACTTTCATAAAAGATGAATGCAAAGAGTATAGACATGTATTAAGATACTGTAATCACTTAAAAAATTTCTTTACTAGCTCCTTCTGATGTGCTATAGAAAAAAAGTAAACATGAATCTTAATAAAGTAAATGTTTGTTGAACCACATTGTATGAAAGTAATTGTTTGCATCCATTATTAAAATGCATCTTGATGTTTACTTTCATGTAATTGTTATTAATGATGCTCAATTAGAGTGGAAATTATTTAACATTTAATACAGCAAAAGGAAATTTTATAGTCAGTAGGTCTTTTATTCTGTCAGATAGTAAGCTAATGAATTAATTTTCTTTTAATATTTGATGCTAATTATTGGATGGATCTTATTAGAAGCTGAAATATTTTCATAACATCAAAGAAAGATTTACGAATTCAAAAAGCTCCAGAAGCTTTACAAAGCAGAACTTGGATGC